CTAGTAAGACTGGGTATCTAATTAAATCAACGTGACTAAAAAATCATTTTGTTTTACTGATTCTTAGAGAAATAACCCCAGAATCACCTCCCGATTTACAACTAATAGGGTCTCTTGGTTTATGTTAATTTGAGCCATTGTCCATAGTATGGCTAAAAAATATTTAGGTTTCTATAAAATGAAAGCTTGGGGGGATGTTGAAAATATTGCTTGGAGGATGCACAACTCTTAGAAAAAAATGCTTTTATGTGCATCTCCCAGGAGCATTTGTGTGATTCTGAAGAGGTTTAGCAAGGAGCAAGCAACCATGGCGCTATTAGTATACTTTTAAAAGAATTAAAAGTATTAAAGTTCTGGAATGTTCCATGAATGCTCCTCCCCCCCCCCCCCGTTCTCCCCCCCCTTATACACACACCCAATTTTGGGTCTAAAAACACCTTCCAAGTTGTCAGAAGACCTGTAAATAATTCATGAATACATGGAAAGAGCCCCAGACATAGAAAATCATTGAATAGGTTTTAAGTATATGAGTAAGTAAATGATCTGCATTGAGCTCCATAGAAATGAGAGGGGAAGAAAGCAAGACCAACTGAGCTTTATGGATGGATGAAAGGGCCAGGTGTGATGGAGACCCTGAATGCAGAAGCCACACCGAGGGTCATGCCAGTGATGCCTTGTCACACCAGGACAGGCTCTGAGTCTTGACTAGTCCCAGTGGCACTGAGTCACACGGGACCTGATCTCTGCTATTTGAAATCTGTTTTCTGGAACTGCTGACTGACGTCCAAGGTCTGCAGGACCCAGAGCGGCACAATGACTTTAGGGACCCAGTGAGATGGTCCAGTAAGCTGGAGGGCTGGTGTTACGACTTGATCCTAACTCCACTCTATATGAGATGTGATTGAACAGTCTCTAAAATGGGTTCAGCATTTGAGTGTGGAGGCAAAAGTTACTGGTCTTCAACTTCCTTTTATTTGGGATTTTGGGACACACCTGACTGTGCTCAAGGGTAATTCCTGGCTCTACACTCAGAGATCACTCCTAGTAGGGGCTCAGAGGACTGTATGTGGTGCCAGGGATTAAACCAGGGTCAGATGCATGCACAGACATTGCCTCAACCTCTGTACTATCTCTACAGTCCCTCTGACTTTCTTTTTTTTTTTCAATTTTTTTTTTTAGATTTTTTTAGTGACCCTCTGACTTTCTTAATAAAGTTTTGTGTTTATTTTTTCTCTTAAAAATCTCCTACGTTTTCGGTAAGACTAAGGAAAACTTAGATGTATTTTAATTAATTTTTCTTTACTTTTATAACAAATAGTGATATTTGGTTTTTACGCTACACTTTTTATCATGAAGCAGAGTGAACTCATAAGTCTTTAATGAGAAGACTACCCACAGTTTGTGATTTGAAATTTATATAAATGATTATGTAATTTATAGCCCAAATTTTCCTTATAGACTGAAGTGGCAATACTGGGGCCTAATCTTTTGCCAGAATAGATTCTAAACTCTCTGATCATGTGTGTGCGCGTGTATATGCGTGCGTGCGTGCGTGTGCGTGTGTGTGTGTGTATGTAACTACATATTGGTGAGTAAAAATGAAATTTCTATGACATGACATCTGTGGTTTCTATATTCTATATGATACAGAATACAAAAATTCAATAATTTGTTTGCATCTCTTACAGGGTCATCAGTTAACTGAGGTCTAAAAGTTATTTTGAATCAACAAGATTTGGAAACTTCTCCAATAAGGATGCAATTATCTTGAGACTTTAATTTATGCTAAATTTATTTATTAACTTTTTTGGGCTGATCTGGGGATGCAAACCAGGTCTCATGAAGACACTTCATTGCTAAACCACATCTTCAGCACTGTGTAAGATTTTTTGACCTGACAAAAAAAAGTCTAGATGTTGTTGTTGTTTAAGTTGATGAGGCTCTTCCTTCAAATTCTCTCTCCAAAGTTTTAGAAAAATAGTTGGGCTCTGGAGCAGACATCCTGAACACGGCTATGCTAGTAATTAGCTCGTGTTTCCAAAATAATCCGGTTGACATACACTAAAGTGTCTGCTTATACAGAACTTCCAATCATCGAGGGAGAAATACTATCATAATAAACACTGGCGTCCAAATCGAAACAGCATGAGGCTCCCAACAAATGTTTATGAAAACATTTGCTTTCTTATCCTCAGTTTAATTTTGAAATTTATGCCTGTGCATGTGTACAAGGACGGCGAGTCTGTGGCCCTCTGTGACCTCCCACCCCACCTTCTGGAAACCAAACATACATCTTAACCCTGGCCCCATACATGACACAACTCACCAGAAACAGGCCCCCTAATGAGAAGTCAGGCTTTCAGGTATGACATTCGGAGACCACCCTACGAGACGGGGCCCCTAGAGCATGAAGCCAAGGTCCCATATGGCAAGCCTGGTAATTAGACACTAATAATAGAGTGAGGTGTAAAATTCACTTCAACTCACCACCAACAGACTAAACAATCGAGAGAGAGAGAGAGAGAGAGAGAGAGAAGAGAGAAAGAGGGAGGGAGGAGCTTTTGGGAGAGGAGGAAGAGGAGGAAGTGGAAGAGGAAGAGGATAAGGAGGAGAGAGACAGAGATACAGAACACATTTGGGGGCGAGGAGGAAGAAGTGAAGAGGGGGAAGGAGGGGGAGGAGAAAAAAGAGAAAGAAGAGAGAGAGGGAGAGAGAGGGAGAGTGGGGAGAGAGAGGGAGAATAGGGGGAGAGAGAGAGAGAGAGAGAGAGAGAGAGAGAGAGAGAGAGAGAGAGAGAGAGAGAGAGAAGAGGAGCATTTGCGTTTGGGGGCGGAGGAGGGAACATTCATTACACCCCTATCAGGAGGCTCATAAAAACCTACCAAGTCTGACAAGCACCAGGGAGACCAGGGAGTGACAGAAGGTCCTTTGAACCCAATGATTGATCATCCAGCTGAGGGAAGCACCCCCAGATCCCCTTTGGCATCACCAATCAATGGAATTTGGTTTTGGTTCTTAATACTGCCACCTTCAGCCATGGCTGGAGGTGTCTCTGTCTCTCTTTGCTCTCCAGAAAGGGGACACTGCTTTCACCTCAGGAGGGAAAGGGCACTTCCTCTGGGCATGCCTCTTTTTTGTGAGGAAGGCAGGACTGCAGAGACCAGCGTTCCATGGACTCCGCAGGGCCAGGCTTAGAGGGAATTACTCCTTTTCTTTGGACCAATGTCAACCTCCATTTTTCTCAGGAAAGACATCGTTCTGTTTTGCAGATGGCTTTCTTCAGGAAAACAAACTCCCGATTTACAACTTCCAAGCGGTATATTTTCAGAGTCAGAGGGACAGTGCAGAGAGAGGATCCTGGTCCAGGTTCCATCAGGCCCCTGAGCACTGAGTCGGGAATAACCCCTGAGCACCACAGGGTGTAGCGCCTAAACTCAGAACTGAGACCAACGAGTGAAAAAGCAAACTAGCATAATGCTCATGATTAGGCTCTGCCCACTGTGCTCAGGGAGGGCCTGGGTGTGGGGTGAGGGCAGCCAGGCTGGGGGGCAGTGCTGGAGAGTCTCCCTGGGGGCCTGGCCGTGCAGCGGCTGGGATTTGAACTCGGGGCTTCCTACGCCAAACTTGTGTTTCTACCACTTGAGCTATTTCTGGGGCTTCGTGACCCTTCCAGATGACTCGGACTGATCCTTCTCAAAGAGAAATTATGTTTGGGAATTTCAATTTGCTGCTGGACTCCTGCACTCAGTGTGCAGAGAGACAGTGAATATCTTAGTCTGACATTTCCGAGTGTTCTCAGAGATTGGTTCTAAAGTAGTTATTTCCAGGGGCTGGAGAGATAGCACAGCAGGTAGGGCGTTTGCCTTGCACGCGACCAACCTGGGTTCGATTCCCAGCATCCCATATGGTCCCCTAAGCACCACGAGGAGTAACTCCTGAGTGCAGAGCCAGGAGCAACCCCTGTGCATCGCCAGGTGTGACCCAAAAAAAGCAAAATAAATAAATAAATAAAGTAAGTTATTTCCAGAATTTTCTGAGGGAGGTCCTGGGGCTTCACCAGCCTATGGTTTGCTGCAAGGGCCTGAGGCCATGGGCTAGAGTGTGGTCACCTGGCCACCCTCATGGTTCATGGGGGCTTTATTTTAGTTTTGGTTTGGAGGCCACACCTGGCAGGCTCAGGGGCCCATATGCTGTGCTAGGCATCAAACCTGGATCAGCACTGTGAAGGTAAGCACCCTTCCCATTGTACTGTCATGCCAGTCCCTTGGGGCCTTTATTAAAGATGTGCCTGGCATCGCATGGGGATCAGGGGGTGCCAAGAAGGAGTGCCCAGAATGCACCTGAGTCACTATTCTGTCTCCTGGCTCCCTTTTCATGACGTGCGATGCAATCTATCTGGCGGTAGAATTGAAGTCCTGAGAGCTCCCATCTTGCCCGTAAAACACACTCACTTCCAGGTACCCTGAATGTCGAGTGGGAGCTAATGTTGAGCAGGGCAGGTGAGGAGGAGCAAGAGCCAGAGACACACGGTCTTGGAAGGCACCTCACAGGCACATGTTCCTTCGTGGAGGAAAAGAACGAAACCCTCCTGTTTCCTCTGGTTCCATCCCAGAAGCCTGTCAGCGCTGTGGGCTTCCGGCTGGCTTGGAAATGAAGTTGAGTTGGTCGAACAGCCAAAACAATGGACCCTGATTTCCTAACCAAAGTCACGTTCTGAGATGGGCCAGGAGGGGTCCTATGTTCTGGTAAGAAAGGGGGTTTATATTTCTTCCAGTTTAGAGCTGGCCACATCAGGGTCATATTCTGGCTATTACCTGAGGACCCCCGATGCCACAAATACAACAAAAATGACATAGTGTACGGCTGCAATAAGGTCGTGAAGGCTCAGCTGAGGAGAGGAGTCCTCACACCCCCTTGCTGAGCATTCGGGGGGCACACCTGAGTTCATGGTGGCTGAGGCATGCACCGAGTCCCCTTAAAGAACAAAACCAAGAGCTCACCTTTTGGGATCTATGAATTTGTACAGCTTTCCATTATGGGTCTGGGTCATACTTTTACTACTTGATAGGATGTAAACTTCACCTGCCAAAACAGAAAAGCAAGAATTAGGAGGATTTTACTTCTGATCGCCGAGAAGATTTTTTTTTATTTTTATTTTTTTGGAATATAGCACTGTAGCACTGTCCTCCCATAGTTAATCAATTTGCTTGAGCCGGCACCAGTAAAGTCTCTATTGTGAGACTTCTTGTTACTGTTTTGGGCATATCAAATAAGTCACGTGTAGCTTGCCAGGCTTTGCCATGCAGGCGAGATACTTTGGTAGCTTGCTGAGCTCTCCAAGAGGGGCGGAGGAATCAAACCCGGGTTGGCCACATGCAAGGCAAACACCCTACCCACTTGCCCAGAACAACAGAAGTGAGGGCGCAGACCTCTGTGTGGTCATAAATCTGGATATAATTTTTTGCGGGACAGGTGGGTAGAATGGGACCACATTCAATTATGATTAGGGCTTACTTCTGACTGTGCACTCAGGGATCACTCTTGCAGGGGCTCTGGGGGTCATATGCAGTACCAGGGGTTGAACTCAGGTTGGCTGCATGCCAGGGATGGACCCTGCCTGTGGTGTCATCTCTCTAGTCTTTGTGTACTACTTTTGACCCCCTCTCCCAATCTTAGCTACTAGCAGCTGCTTTTGACTAAAAGCCTTCCCAATAACCCAAGTTGACGGAACACATATTTTATGTGCTATATTTGTCAGATACTGTATTATTAGAGCAAAATAAGCTAAAGAGATCATGAGCAAGGAATCACTGTATCACCGCCATCCTGTTGTTTGTCGATTTACTCGAGCGGGCGCCAGTAACCTTACCATTCCTCCCAGCCTGAGATTTTAGCAGCCTCTCCTTACTCGTTTTTCCCAACGATTGGAGGCTCTTTCAGGGTCAGGGGAATGAGACTGGTTATTATTACTGTTTTTGTCATATTGAATATACCACCGGGAGCTTGCCAGGCTCTGCCCGTGTGGGCGGGATACTCTTGGTAGCTTTCTGGGCTCTCTGAGAGGTGTGTGTGTGTGTGTGTGTGTGTGTGTGTGTGTGTGTGTATACACACACACATATATATCTCCAAGGAAATCAGGAAGAAAATACTGCCATGCATTTGGGGGATGCCATTCATTCAGATTGTCTGAAAATCCACATGAACATGGTATACTTTCTGTTCAAGTAATAAAATAGGAGACTAACACCCAAGAATAGCCAAGATAAGTACCAGGAGGTTTATTCCACGGCTTGGAAACCAGCTGCACATGCTAGGGGAAAAGGCAGCTCAGATAGGGAAGGGAGGACCAAATAAAGGGTGTTGGGAGGATCCTCCCAGGGTGGGAGAAGCATGCTGAAAGTAGACTCTAGACCGAACATGATTGCCACTCAATGCCTCTTTTGCAAACCACAGCACCCAAAAGGAGAGAGAGAACAAAAGGGAATTCCCTGCCACAGAGGCGGGGTGGGGTGGGGGGGGTGGGGAGTAGGAGGGCTACTGGGATCAGTGGTGGTGGAGAATGGGCACTGGTGGAGGGAGGGGTACTCGATCATTGTAGAACTGAAACCCAAGCACAAAAATTTGTAAGTCTACAACTGTACCTCATGATGTTTCACTAATAAAAATTAAAAAAAATATATCACATGGAGGCAGGACAGACGTGGGCTAGAAGTCGGGAAAAAGGGCACTGTGACAATGACAGAGGTACGTCGTCACTCTGGACCAGGACTAGGTGCTGGAAGGAGGGTGAGTGACACGCTTACTACTTGATCAGTAACAGTATGGCAAAGCACAGTGCCTGAAAGAGCCAAAAACAAAAGGAAATAGAACCTCCCATAGAGGCAGGCTGGGAGGAGGGGTGGGGCGGGGCAGAGGGGAAGGAAACTGGGGACTTTGGTGGATGGAAGTGGACACTGGTGGTGGGATTGGTGTTGCAGCACTGCATGCCTGAAACTCAATCACGAATAACTTTGTAACTGCAATTTGCAGTGAATCAGTACAAAAATAATTTCAGAAAAAAACTGGAAATGAAGCTGCATGTGTGTCTGTAGGTTGAGGCGTGTGCACGTGTGTGTGTGTGTGTGTGTGTGTATGTGTGTGTGTGTGATTCTCCATCCATCCATCACCTCTTTCTATGTACATCTGTGGACCAGCTACCTCCATAGACATGCAAGAAAATCACTTGTATCAAGACTAGAAAAGAGACCCTAGGTGGAGTTTCCAAATGCACTGTGTTCCAATCTTCTCATATCACGCCTCTCAGAGCCCAAGGGAGGCTTGACCGACTTCACGTCCCCTTCTTGCTCTGCTCCCGCCAGCAGTGCTCCGAGCGCCTGTCTCTGCCTCTCCAGTGGCACCAGCCACTGGACCCCATGCACGGGGCAGATTTCTGCCTGATGCGCCTGTCTCAGGACTCACCAACAGGCTGTTTTCACTTGGGGCACCCCAGAGTGGGGCGGGTGAGACCCCCAACCCCAGGGGACCCAGCCCTGGCAGCCGACCTCCACTACCCAACCGCCGCCACGCTCCAGACACATCATAAGACACTTCTTACCCATTTTCCATAATTACCACACCATATTTGATGGGGTTCAGACAGTAGGCAACAAATCATAAACATATATATATATATATATATATATATATATATATATATATGCCCAGCAAGCTACTGAGAGTATCCCACCCACACGGGCAGAGCCTGGCAAGGTCCCCATGATGTATCCAATATGCCAAAAACAGTAACGATAACAGTTTTCATTCCCCTGACCCTGGAAGAGCCTCCAATCATTGGAAAAGATGAGTAAGGAGAGGCTGCTAAAATCTCAGGGCTGGAAGGAATAGAGATGTTACTGGTGCCCACTCGGGTAAATTCACAGTGATACAGCGATAGAGTGACAGCTCCTGTTTCAGGTGCCAACAACGTCATGCTCTTCCACTCTAGATTCCTGTCTCAACTCCTGCCCAATTCTCTGTGTCTCAGCATTTGTCCGGCTTCCATTCTTGAGTTCCTCTTTCCATAAATCTCCACGAGGGTGACTTTCCTCTTGCCTTCAAGTCCTTGTTGAAATATCTTCCCTGACCGCGCTATTTAAATCACATTTTTCTGAAGCTTGCCCAATCGCTTTGCCTCCTCCTCACTAGATTTTACTCCAAAGGATTTTACTACCCATAAGCAATATTTATATTTGTAAATACATACTACAGCTACATAAATCTGTGCGTTTCTCCAACCCCTAAGACAGAACTCTGCAAGAACAAATACTCAATAAATATCTGCTGCTGAGTGTGTTGCAGGCAGGTTTTTATCTTTATTGTGCTTAAAGAGCAAATGGGAATATTTAGTTACCACGTTCTGTTTAACTGAGGCCACACAGAATTGATGCAGTTCTCCTTCTTAATGTTTTTGTTCTAAATTAAAATAAAACAAATATTTGAACGAGTGGCACCCTGACCTGGATTTTTTTACTTCCTACTTGACCTCTCTAATTCAAGCTCTGCTCCTGATGAAGAAATGCGACAGGGGGATTTCAGAGGGAACCACTCTTGTTAATTACCACTACATCCATATAATTCAATATATGGAATGGATCACATGAATAGGGACTTATAACCTATATTTATGATTATATGTTTATAGGACTTTAAAATATATATTTGGTTCTCATTCATGAAATAGTCTTTGATATAGTCTATATTTCTTTATTTCACTTTATAATTATATATTAAGCACAGATGACTGCCTTCTGACTTCTGAAAATGATGTAATGGAATTCACACACATACACACACATAAACTCAGATATAACAGAAAAAATAAAAATAAAGTTAAAAGGCAAAGAAATGTAAAAGGTCAGTATTTCACCAAGTACTTAATACAATTCACCTGGTTTATTCCTTAAAGCAGGCACATCCTGATTTCACATTATTAAGAAACACACCCAGACGAAAACAGACTCCCAAAACTTTTTGTTTCCGAAAGACAAAAATGTAGTCATTTAAAAAATATGATTCTTAGCTAGTAATATACCTAACAGTTTTATATGGAAGTATATTTCTTTCTTACAATAAAATACCCATGATGTTATAAATCCATACAGTATGGATTTTGTATGTTTCATTTCCAACATCGGGTTGAGTGTAGACAGGCTTGTATATTTTCACCAATGGTAGTGATACTGATAGGATTATGGAGGTGAGTCATTTGTAGTAAAGTTCAAGGAAATCAAAATAATTCAGCACAACATCTAATCGCCTCTAACTTTGCAACCAGAAACTTAATTTTAATTTGTATTTTAAAATCAGAGTTTTCCAATGAAATTTAAGTCATATTACAGAGGATTTAAGTGAGCAAATTTATCATTCTGGTTCCTCCCAATGGGGTAGGAGGATAGTACAGAAAAATAAATTTTTAAATGCTTTCAGTGCTGCATAAAAAAAGGGAGATTGGACCTCTCTTTTTCAAAAGAGTGTATTCCCAGAGCTCTGTAATATACCTTTTATTTCAGGAATCTCGTGAGGTCCTTGCTAACCCAGGTGAACACATGGACTATTTCAGGGAATTCTCCACTGAAGCAGGAAAACCACATCCATACGGTTGGTGGAAATATTCCTCTTTGAATGAGAAACATGATTTTTTTCTTAGAACCTGGAAACTCATCTCTGAGTGTAATGAGTATGGAACCATGGTTTGTTTGACTATTACTCTAACGGGAGTCACTTTGAAAAGCTTCTCATCTCTATAATTTAAAATGTGTAGCATTTCCATTCTTGGGAAGGGGTGTCAGATTTCAATGTCAACTTTAAAAAAAATAAAGACTCTTTCATTGAGATAAGATTGTGCTTTTTAAGGCCACAGATGTCATAGAGGGTTATTTTCACACTTCTGCAAAATGCACACTGTCTTCAATGAAAAAGCACAATATTCTTCCAACACAGTCCACCGACCCATCCCTACTTGAACCCCCACTTCCCACAGGTAACCTCAGTTCTGTGGACAGAATCTATGTGTTTATAAAAAACGTTTCGGGGGGGGGTGTTGGAAAGATAGAACAATGGGTAGGGTGCTTGCCTTGCACTCAGCTGACCCGGGTTTAATCCCTGATATATCTCAAATGGTTCCCTGAGCACTGCCAGGAGTCTGCTTCGTGCAGAGTTAGGAGTAAACCCTGAGTATTTCCGGGTGTATCCCCCCAAACAAATAAACACACAAACAGAAACAATTTTTTTTGTTTTTAATTTTTGTGGTGCCAGGGATTGAACCCAGAATCTCATATATGAAAGGTGAGAGCTCTGTCTGAGCTATTTTCTCAGCTGAAGTTCATTTGACTTGGCTTTGCCAGTGAAATAGCATATACCAGGATAGCATATAATAACAACACATTATGTTGTGGGATCATCAACTGGATCGTAAGTGAGAAAAGAATTTCTATTCTGTTGGAAAGGGATCGATATACTTTGTTCTAAAGGAACCATAAACTCAGTTTCATGCCACATGGGAAGAACAGAGTAACTGAGGAAAACAGGGTTAGGTGAGATCCACATTGCATTTAACAAACTTATCCCAAGAGACATAGATAGGTGCAAAATGTTCAATAAAATATAGAAACAAATGATCCAGCTCCATCAAAATCTGTAGATACTTAAGATGCTTTCTCTTTGCGACTCAAAAATTCTCTTTTATTCTTACCTCTCCTTCCCCCCTGTGTCGCTCTTATATTTCGGGAGTGGAGATAAGATATAAGGAACACCAGGGAATAGCTACAAGGGGAGACAGGGGGACCCTCTTTTATTTCTGCAATACATCTTTGCTGGACGTTACATTTTCAATCAATAGAAGGTGAGACCGTTAGACTACTTATTTAGGACAGAAGATCAAGCCCCTTGGGAGAGGGAAGCAAACAGAAAGAGTCTGTACAGTACCTAATTCATCTTCTCCAAATCCCAATATATGGCCCGAAAGGTGACCTCGACAGGAACCACTGCTGCCGAGACAAAGTGGCTTTTCTTGCCACTGCTTGCTCACGGGACTTTGCTGGAGAGTCAAGAAATTCCTACAACAGAAGGATATCATAGACCTCCAGTGAAAATTCAGGAAGACAATAACATGTTGAAAATGAAACTCACAAGCACAGAGTGCCATGCCATGGACCTGGCTTCGAAAAGGAAAAAAGATGTTAGCTCATAATGGGGGTCGACACTGGAATTCCCACGGGGAAGAAAAGGGCTTAAACACCATGTTTCATTTGGAGGGAGGCTCTCAAAGTCCCGAGTATGAGAAAAGCCCCCTTCCCACCCTCTCCATCCAGAGAACGATACTTCCTCTCCAAGCCTACACTCCATGCGGTGCTATTTATCAGAAAGAGGGATGGGGGAGATCATGGGATCAACACACTTTTCTAGTCCCTTTGAGCTCCCCACAGATCAACTTCTGACATGGGCCTGAATGCCAGATACTTGGGAAATGAGACTCTCAATTTGGATCTCATCATCATTTCTTCTCATTATCCATAACTTGGCCTCTAAAATTGGGGCTAACAATTTCATTCTGCAGCCTACCTGCCTCTACAGAGAAATTAAGCTCACGTGCCAAAAGTTCCCAAACTCTGGCAAATTCAATCGCAATGCTTAGCTTTCCAAGAAAATTTAATAAAATCCCTACAACTCGTGTTCTGTGACAGCTTTCCAATGAGCCTTTATGCAGGACATCTATGTTAAGGAATAGGGAAGAACCTAGACAATAGAAACCGTCCATCTGAAGACTCCTCTGGCCTTTAAAACAAGTTTAGAAACTTAACTGAACCTGTTCAGAAGATGTCTCTCGGGACTGAAGATGCAGCTGAGCAGTAGAGCTCTTGCCTTCCATTTTAGAGGTTCTAGATTCAATTCCCAACACCAAAATTAAAAAGCATATCGTAGTTCTTTTATTGAAATGCCATACACAGAACAACAACAAAAAAATAATGCCTGTACATCCCAGGCCTGACCTCCAAAGGCCAATAAATACTTGAATACTTCCTGGCAGCCTGCCAATGAATCAACAAACATGTTACTTGGTGTATCAAATTGTGTCAACAGGAAACCTACCCATTCCGATCTCCAAACACATAGCTTCCATACAGTCTTTCAGACTGGCAGCCTCGGTAAACAAATCCACCAACCAAAGGGCCATTACTGAATGGCTTGAATTCTAAAAGTGATGGCTCACTTTCTGGAAAGAAAGAAGCAGAACATTAGATCAAATGAAACATTTCTGCGAGTATAATAATGTAAGTCAAGCAACAGTGATAATAGTCCTTAGGTTTTGTGCTAAAATCTTTACCAAAAGACCAGCCCTTGCTGTAGTTATCTGGTAAAAATAATTATTTCCTTTGCTGGAGTAGTAGAACATTCGAAGAGCTGATAAGAGATTGCAAATGTTGGCTGCTATCATAACTGCCAACTGAGTCTGGATACTTTGGAAGTCATGTTTATCCACTGTAAAACCAAAAAATTCAGGCTGCTATTATAACTGCCAAACAAATCCGGGTACTTTGAAAACTGTGGTTATCTAATTATAAAACCAGGACACTTTAAATAACAGTTAATTTTTAAATTAAATTTACATGAAAGGTCTTTAAAACACATTTTTTTCCAGTGAAAATATTGGCGTGGTGTACAGAATTGTGTGGTTAAAATCATCTACCCCAGGCCAGTGCGTACAGGGGTTCAAGGTGCTTGCTTTGCATGTGGGGAACCCCAGTTTTATACCCAATACCACCTGGTCCCAGCAGCATCTTCGGGTGTGGCCCTTGAGGCTCTTCCTGCACTGGTAAGGTGACCAGAAAATCCCTGGCACTGCAGAGACGGAATAGCACCACATCCTTGGGCCCTCGCACTGGACCCCACTGGCCAAGACCTTCAGGGGGGCCCCAGGGTGTAGAGTTTTGGTTGGGATAAGCAGTAAAACACACAGATACACTCAGACACATAGACACACAAACATACACACAGATACACAAATACACACAGACACACAATCCTTTTGAATTCCATGTATATAACCATGTCAACACATCTCAACAATTCCATGCATGTTATCTTATACTTGAAAACATGCATATCAGCTGCACTGGAAAAGATCTAAAGCCAACTGTGAATTAACTGGTATTCCTCCGTGCCTCAGGTCAGTTATGCTACCATCCACAGGCAGTGTTTCAGGTAGAGACAGAAATTTTAAAGTTCTCTTTCCCCCAGTTTGATGATGGTGAGACCACATCACAAAAGATTTAAAAAGGTAAGTTTTACCAAGTTGGTGCACAGAGGGGCAGCGTTACTGAATGAATAAGGTCTGGACTGCCTGGGTGCCAGTGTGAGCCCTGCCACTCTACACTCAATGACAGTGACCCTTTCTGGGCAGGGACACTGCGTGTCACACAGGCTTGCTCTGTGCACAGAATGAGGGCAGTTGTTCCAGTGCTGACCACACAGGGTGGCATGAAACTTCATGTGGATGGTTGCCAAAGGGGGTAATTTTTGTCAGCTTTATTGGGGCATCATTGACAAATGAAAAGATATATATGGTGTATCATGGTACTATGATGTATGTGTACACAGTGAAAGTATTTCCTGGATAAGCCTCTTGGTTTTTGTACTATGGACCACACTTGGTGATCAGGGGTGTGGCCCTAATCTCATTGGTGCTAGCTCTAGGAGGCCATGCAGTGCAGGGGATCCAACTCAGGGTCCTGTTTATCCAGGTATGTGCTTTCTCTCTCTCTCTCTCTCTCTCTCTCTCTCTCTCTCTCTCTCTCTCTCTCTTCTCTCTTTCTCTCATTTTTTCTGGTTGTTTCAGAAACATAAATGGAGGTCTGTCACTATGCTGACTAGTTTCAGCTAAACCCCAAGTAATGTGCTTACAGAACTTAGTTTAACATACACAGAAGCAAAATGCCATCCAACTAGCGACAGGGAAGACTTAATTCCAAGCCACATTATTTTGTTCCAAATATCTGTAACAAACACACCACACACCTAAAACATAGTGAAATGACTAGATACCACATAGCTGCTTCATTTCAGTGTTAAACAAATATCTCTGATGATTGAGTAAACAGAAGAAGCACTCAACTTAATAACATTAATGTACTATTTCCAGAATCAGTAATATTTAATATGTGGCTTCCTCCAAATATTAAAATTTGGACTTCATTATTATTTTATATGCATCTCTAAACTCTCTGGTAATCACATTATTAAAAAAATATCTCAATGTTCAATTTCCATGCCTTTAGTAAGATGTTTTTACAAGTCTGTGACTTTGTTTTCTCTAAAATAAACACCTTTAAAAATTAAGATTCTTATTTGAAACACATAATTTTCCTATTTGCTGAGACAAGCACACTGGGTATTGAGAAATTTCTTGCCTTTAACACTTGGCTTTTCCTCTGTATATAAGATGTTAAGACAAGTTCTCCTTTATATTTTACACAAATAGAAGTTATTCATCTTGCTTCACAGATGACCAAAATATTAACTGCTAACTCCTGAAGATCCACTAAAATTTTCTGGACCTACAGAGCACCATTCAATCTGTGGGAACGGTAATTAAGCTAATGGAACCTCCTGGGCTTATAAGAGTCCCAGAGCCTTTAAAAAATGAGCAGTTGATGCCCTTACTGCCGTAAGGCCAGTGTTATGATACTTTCCCAAATGCTCACTCTGCAGAAACCCTTTCTCCCTTTAGTTAATTTTCTGAAATAGAACCAAACTCAAACTCAAGCAAAATCAACACATCATAGTCTACTCACCATAATCTTTCCCTTTTATGATCTGTAGGATTCTGGTTGATGATCTGTTCTTTCCATTGGAATCTGAACATAATATGGTTAAATTGTTGTTAATATCAGGGGGGTGTCGGTCCACAGCACATCTGCAGAAACAAAGGGGTGCATCCATTAATTCCTACCAGGATGTCCTCCGTGATCAGGCTGGAGCCCCTGCCAAAGACCCCCTATGGGCTTGGGAAGGCTATGATTGGAAGCTCTAGACAGAGTGGACGTGATCACTGGTTCTGCTCGAGTGCAGAGATCCGTGGAGAATATTTTTACATTTCTCTGGGTGGCTCCCTCCATTCTGAATGTACACAATGAGTTAAAGTGTGTTCGTTTGCTGTTGAATATCACATGCATAATATAACGGGTAACTAAGAACCAGGCACAAGACCAAGTTAAATATACTACACTCCATAAAGAATTAGTTCTGTGTTTCTTACATAGACTCATGATATTCTATGTAATATATGTAGAGAGAATATATATTAAGGCTGCTTGAGAAAAGTAAAGTATGCGCCCCCAATAAACAAAATTATGAGGCTGGAGTGACATTCAGGGGTAAGGTTCTTGCTTTGTACTAGGTCAGCCCAGGTTCAATTCCTGGCACCAGATACCTGAGCACCATGAGGAGTGATCCCTCAGCTCAGAGGCTGAAGTAAACTCTGAATGCAGCTGGATATGGCTACCAAATAAAAAATTAATTAATTAATTAATTAATTAAAAAAATCAAGATGTTTTTCCTCCACCACTGAGAGTATTTCTTGAGAAGACTCCAATTTCATGATCATCTCTAATCAGGGAACAGAATTCACTGCCAACTCCCTGGGTCCTCCTTTTACTCTGCACCCCCCACCCCAACCTCCCGCCCTTCCCACTGTGTTTCTGTGATCTAGTTTAAAGCCATGGATACAAAAGGGGTCATCGCTGATGACAGATTAAATCACAGGACTGCACGCAGGCAGTTTGGGTGGAGTGAAAGATTCAAGTTGAAAAATCTGATTTCTGACGTTCTCCCAACAGTCTCATATTGTCTTTAGTTTTCTCCTCACTGAGATTACTGAGATTCTGGTCCAGAAAATTATTAGACTGGAAGGGGGGGCACTGTTCTGTGTAAGGCATGATGGGTGTAATTCTTGCATCTCCACTCATGAGATGCTATCAACATCAGTCCTTCCCCCGACCCACCAATCCCCTCGAGTGATGCAAACAAAAAAAATGTTTCCAGACGATGCTAGATCCCATTGACAATTGTGGTTTAAGCCCAACAAAATACATTAATGGCATAAAGATCCAACTGTTGGGGCTATTAAATTTACGAAACAATAGACAAATCTGAATAAGCAGATTCTAGGGGCTTCAGAGACATAAGTCATATATAACAATTACTTGAACAACTATCATGAAACAGACTCAAAACACTTTTGGCTCTAACAAGTCCATTCATAATGGAGACACTAGCGCCTGGCTGGCCAAAGATGGGGGAGCTTCTCTGTGACAACAGTCACTGCATTGTCTTCTTGGATTCAATGGTCACAGAACACAATGCCAGGCAGGGAGGGCACAGAGATAGGCTGTGACTTAAAGCAGAATATAAGTTTATGGCAAAAACGCTCCCTCCACTTCTACTTTTCTTTCTTTATTTTTTTAATGAATCAATGTGAGATACAGTTACAGACTTATAAACTTTCGTGATTATGTTTCAGTCATACAATGATAGAGCACCCACCCAACCCTCCACCAGTGCCCATTCTTCACCACCAATGTCCCAGTATCCCTCTTGCCATCGCACCCCTTCCCACCCCTGCCTCTACGGCTCTAAGATTCCCTCTTACTTTGTCTCTCTCTTTGGGTGTTATGGTTTGCAATACAGGTACTAAGTGACCATCATGTTTGGTTCATAGTCTACTTTCAGCATGCATCTCCCATCCTGAGTGAGCCCTCTAACCATCGTTTACTCAGTGATCCCTTCTCTATGCCAGCTGCCCTTCCCCCCAGCATGTGAGAACAGTTTCCAGCTTCCAAGCCACGGAGTAATCCTCTTGGCCCTTATCTCTACTATATTTAGGTGCTAGTTTCCTGTTATGTTACATTATATTTCACAAATGACTGCAGTCCTTCTATGTCTGTCCCTCTCTTTCTGACTCATTTCACTTAGCATGATACTCTCCATGACCATCCACTTATATGCAAATTTCATGATTTCATCTTTTCTAACAGCTGCACAGTATTCCATTGTGTAGATACACCCAAGTTTCTTTAACCAGTCACCTGTTCTCAGGCACTCGGTTTTTTTTCCAGATTCTGGAAAATAATGCTGCCATAAACATACAAGTACTTCTACTTTTCTTTAGCAGACAGAGAACGTAGAAACCAGCCCAACCAAAGTCAGCCTGTTTCAAGCAAGACAGAGCAAATCTAGTCTCTTGAGAAGCAACTGCTCGCAGCCGTGGAAGGTTCCCCTCGGCTGCATTCCAGGATCTGTTAGCCCTTCCATCCTTTAATTTCTTGTATCCAAAAGACGTGAACTATCTCTGATTGGAATACAACAGGTGAAAACATGTCACTAACCACATGACCAAATCCACCAAGAACAGACATCACCAAGCATGAACTCGAATGTCTACCATGGACACTGGGAGACAGAGAAGAGTTAACACCAGTTCTGGGCAGCTGTAGCACACTGTCATTGGAGAGGCTGCACATGTGTGGGGAAGAAGCTTGCAATGTGGGGGGCGGGGAACACGGGATGACTTTTCCTCTTGCAAAGGGCCAAGTTAATTTGGGAACCTTTGGTTAGAAGGGAGGTACATGGGAAAGCTCTGATAGCGTTGTTTCCAGTTTTCTGTGAAATTGAAAACAGCTCTAAAAAAATTAAAGTCCTTTTAATTTAGAAAAAATGATGAGGTGAATTCAGCTTTCTGAGTATGGCTGAGAAGTAGAAATGAGATCTTAGGTGAAAGATACTATATTCACTGCGTAACTCTCATGGCCTGCTTTTTTATTTTTACTGAATCACCATGAACAACACTTACAAAGCTATCATGTTTGAGTTCCAGTCATATAATGATTGGACACCCATCCCTCCACCAGTGTACATTTTCCACCACCAATGACCCCAGTATCCACCCCCACCACCCCGTGTCCCACCCTTCCTCCTGCCTCTATGGCAGAAAATTTCCCTCTTACTCTCTCTCTACTTATGGGCATTACGGTTTGCAATACCAATAATGAGATTTCATAGCCCTCTCTTTAGTAATACCAGCAGTACCATTTAAAAACTGTAGCCATATATAATTGCACCTTACTTTTTTTTGTCAAAACTGCACATGAAACACCACAATTATGTGGTGACATTAGGCATTTAGTTCAGTTCTCTGTCCCAGGCACTTAAAGAATAAAACAGGCTTTCCTTTTAGCTGATGACTGAGTTAAGCTTCTGGTCTGCTTGTTGAAAATCTTCCTTGGTCTGAAAGTCTTAGAGGAAAGTGTTCCATTAGCTCTCTGCTAGGAGGTTAGAATGTATGGCACAGGCCTCCCAGCATTGCTATTGCCAGGAAAGTGCCTTGTTCTGTGTTTCTGCGCTAGAATCTCCAGGATGAGGGTGCCAGGGAGCGAGGGATGGGGGGAGCGGCCCCATTTCACAGTGCTGTTTGCTGGAGGTATCTGCAAGGGGCTGAGCTGGAGGAATGGAATGTGACTGCTTCCCTCCACATCCTGAACCCACTGTAAGTATTCCCCGTCGCGCAGATTTTAAGATCTGCAGAGATGCCAAAAAGGAAATGAACTGTAGACTTGGACTTTGATGGAGGGGAGATGAAGGGCAGGAGGGATTATAAAAATAAAAAGTTTGAGAAATACTCACCTTGCACATAGTGAACACTCAATAAACATGAAATAGCAATAATAACTTCACTAATAAATGAATGAATGTGGCCCCGTGCCCCTCAGAATGAATAACAGCACAGACTGGGTGAAGCTTTCCATCTAAAATTGCTCCATTCTGCCTCTGAGGATTCTGAAAGGATCCTCACCCCACAAGAGTCTCACTCTACATGATCCTTGGTATCTCTTTTGTTCAAGTCCATGACAGCCAACAGTGCAAACACATTGCTTTAGTATGTATATGTTTGGCCACATTCATTCCTACTCAGGGTCATGCTTGGGGAAACTCCTTTTGGTTCTTGGGGACTCTGTGATGTTGGAGACTGAGCCTGGCCTCCTGTGGGCAAAGCACATGACCCAGCCCACTAAGCTCATAGGCCCTGTCATGTTTTCAAGTTGTTTTTTTTTTAAATAACATATAGCCCAATTCCTCACAAATGGATACTACATCATAGGTTAAGTGAAGCTGTGATAATAAGAATTATAATTTATTTAAGATCCATTAGAAATTCTTGAGGCTGTAGCTGTGTTTCTCTGATGGGTAGAATTCTGTTTAATCACGACAGAAGCTCTTTCATCTTCCCTGAATGGTTGCTCGAACCACCCCTTTTATGGCAGAAGAGAATGAACATTCAGAGAAGTGTGAGGAGGCCCAGGAAAAGGTGGGCCATCTCTCTGAATCACTCAGGTGGCATTTTGAATCATTACACCAGTCCAGTGGTGCTGATCTAAGGATAATCCTCCAGGGCTGGAGCGACAGCACAGCTCACCCTGCATGTGGCTGACCTGACTTGATCCTGGGAACCCCATATGGTTTCCCGAACCTCACCAGGAGTGACGTTGAGCATGGAGCCAGGAGTAAGCCCTGATTCCCAGCTGGGTGTGGTCCCAAGCTCAAATAATAGAAGAACTCATCATCCTAAATGCTATGGCAGGGGCTGGAGCGATAGCACAGCGGGTAGGGTGTTTGCCTTGCACGAGGCCAACCTGGGTTCGATTCCCAGCATCCCACATGGTCCCCCTAGCCCCGCCAGGAATAATTCCTGAGTGCAAAGCCAGGAATAACCCCTGAGCATCACTAGGTATGACCCCAAAAGACAAAATGCTACAGCAATCTCCCCTTCTTCCCCACAACCCCCGCAGAAAACGCTTCTCTTCCTGGTCTCATCATCTGTCCTCTCAGTCAGTGGGGTGAGCGAAACGAGCCAGTGCCATATTAGACAAACAGCCTGGAACCCTGCCCTCACCTGGACACCCTCTTAAAGTCGTCCCCCAGACCCCCAAGGTCCGCCTGGCTTGACAGAAGATGAGAGCACAGGCGTGGCTCACCTGCCTGGATCGTGCAGGCCGTGTGCGAACACCTCGGGGGGCTGGTTGGTGCTGTTGAAGTGCGGGTTGCTCGTGGGGATGGAGTAAGGCACCGTGCACACGTCCGCATCCACGTCCAGCCGCAGCACGGAACCTGTGAAGTCACTGAGGGATCAGAGCACTATGTAAGTATTTCCACCGCTGGCACTCATGGCGATGAAACTGAAGGGGGAAGTGGCGTCTGTGGCTCAAAGACCCGTTCCCCCGTTAAAAAGAAAAAAAATCTCTAAATGCCAGCTGGTGGGACATGAACCCGAGGGATGGTGCCAGGCAGTGGCAGCCTCAGGACCCAGTGCTTTGGGGGCCACTTGACATGCAGCTGAAGCCACGTGGAGCAGAGAACCCCACCAGGAATATGGTTTTGGACCCCTTCCTATAGTGACTTTCAAAAATACTGTACCCACCTACTGTGCAATTCCTCTTTCCTTTATAAACGTGGATGGACCTTGATGCCAGGAGCGAGATGTTTAATCGAGGATGGGGTTGAACTCATACATTCATGACTCTGTCCCCAGTACTGAAAATACTTTAATCTGGGGTCAGGGATGCAGCTCAAGGGGCAGAGCACATTGCTCACACGCTTCAGGCCTGAAGTTTGATCCTTGTGTCCCCTCCCAGCCCAGCGCCCCACAGGCCCCAGGGCAAGAGCCACTGACCCCAAAGCATTTCAATCTCCTGAGATGCTGGCTGGGCTGGGTTTGGTTTACCTTAACCCATCCATCTCTTCCATATCATCCAGTGTGATCATTCCATCGCCGAGAATGATGTACAAAAAGCCATCGGGGCCAAAGAGCAGCTGTCCTCCCAAATGCTTTCTGTGCAGTTCCGCTACTTCCAGAAACACTCTGGCTGTCCTCACATCCACTTGGTGGGGATTTTTTCTGCAGTGGGGAGGAAGCAATACCATCAATTAGAAGATAATACAGGCAGCAGAAGGTCCACACCCTGTGAGGCAAACGCCTTTGCTGTAAATGACCAACTACATGGAGGAAAGGAAAAAGGATTCTGAAAGTCCCTCAGTTTCCACCTTTCAGGATAAGACATCAGACTGAACGAGAGATCTCTTTAGAGGGACAGAATGAAAATGATCATTGGAGCTATTCTCCTCAAAGACATTTAAGGGTTTCAGCAGTGTGAAGACTATGACCTAATCATTAGCACCTTTCGGGCGAATTCTCTGTCATCCCTCAACCAAAACCTATGCAGAGATAACGAGAAAACAGGACAGAAAAAGCCTTGATTGTTTGTGGTACCTGGACACTGTATATTCCACAACCCGAAGGATGTGGTCGTGGGGCCCGATGGCCCAGCGCTCCTGGTTGGTAGTGTAAGACACATACAGCTTTCCATTTTTCTTGTAATTGGGATGGAATGCAAGGCTTAGCAGTCCTCTTTCATCTCCTCCCTGCAGTCAAATGAAAAACACAAAGAATTGTGAAGTTAATTATGTTCTTTATTGTATTTCAACTGGAACCCCCAAAAGAGTCTCTTTCTTTCTTCTGGATAATCTTTTGCCCGCACTCTTTTCTTTTCTTCCTTGCCCAACGCACAAAGAAGGATTATAAAACATTTCCCTTGGCGGAACTCTTTAAGGGTCAGGAACGAGACAATTGTCTTGTGTGGTTATCTCTGCACAGGACCCATACAGGACTTTCTGTCAAGTGATTTGTGTGTGTGTAATCTTGGGACGCTCGAAAGACAAGTTTAAGTGCAGCAGAGAATTCTTTGCCGGGTGACCAGGTTGCTCATAGTTCAGAGACGACAAATCAAAAGACTGATAATCAGCAGTCGCTTCTAATCTAAGTCTCTCAAACCGAAAACAGAGTGTGGGCTGCCAACTCCCACTGTCTTGGCAATATGTTTAGAAAACAGTGAAATTGCTTGTGTAATATGTAAACCTTTGCTTTACCCCGGAGTCATCTATATCAGCCGTCACTATGATGGTGGTCTGCTCTCCATGGCTAGGTAATAAGCAGTTGTGGCCGCGTTGCGTAGTAGAAATGAGGTCGTTTTACATGAATCCCTTCACTGCTTCGTTTTTTTCTTTAGGGAAGCCTAGAGGAATGGGAGGGGTGCTCAGAGCTAAAGGGCGGGGGGTGTTGGGGCTGAGAGGAATGTTGGTGAGCAAAAGAAAAGCAAGCCCCCAACAACTTTCTTTTGTTATTATATGAATGTCAAGGATTTGTATACATTCAGCATGCCAAATGCTGTAACAATTAAAACATCATCGTGTTCTCAAATAGAAAGGCATTTTATCTTTATTTTCTGCTAATTCAGCTTGAGGAAATTCAATAGGGTCTTAGCATTTGCTTTATCCCACAAGTAGTCTAGGAATTTCTATAATGAAATCCAAGGATCTAAAATTATCTAGATCGGAGACTTGAAAGTTCATATCCAAGTAGCCAGAGAGCAACTTCCTTTACAGGCACTACAGGGGAAAAACTTGACCCAGAAATTCAGCGTTGTGCATGCATCCTCTATTCGCTCTCTCATTAAACTCCTCATCTCCATCGGCCCAAAGCTGAGCCTCTTCAGCAAGGAGGGAAAGCAGTTTCTTCACAGGGTTCTGTTCAATAATGAAATACTCACATGCCTTTTGTGCCGGATAAAGTGTTGCCAGCAGGGCAGACAATTGTTGGTCATCTTGGTTCAATGTTGATTTGAGCATTTTAGACATGAGGCTAGCGGGATTGGGGACAAACTGCTTTCAGATGCTACCACCCAAAGGGCAAAACATCCAAACTTTAATAATATTTTTATGAAAGGGTACAAATCTCCCAGAATAACCAACTTGTTATTCAAAAGGGAAAAAAATCTGCCTCTTAAATTTCCTATCACTGTATGCTTAATTTTAATCAAAAAAGTAAGCTTGTTAAACTACAAGATTCCAGGAATCATTATACTGCATGAACAAGTCTCTATTTGGAGGATTATTTTGTTATGCCTTTAATAATAATTTAATTTAATAAAGTGAGGTTGCCATGTTTCTTCTTCTATCTTCCACCAAAACAGTACTTTTTTGTCTCTCTTGAGATTTTGAAAGCTGGGATGGGTAATGACCATTTGCTTGCAGAAAAAGCTATTGCAGACTTAAGTCTCCTTGACAGATGGAGAAGGGGACCTCGGATGGGATTTAGTTTGTGATTAATTCCTCTTCGAAATATATTTCCCTGTGAAGCCGTGAGTGCAGGGTAAACCCTGCCTGCCCACTTCACAAATGTTTGTGTTCTACTCTAAGGAGCTTTGGCTGAAAGCAGTTCTTTTGTAGTTTTTAATTGAATCATCTGCAATACAATTTGAGTTGGAGAGCCACAAGTTTTATAACTGTGCTGCTGGATGTTTGGGAATTAGGAAAAGTTGCATTTGGGCACTGTAGAAAGACAGCTGGGAAAAGAGATTTAAGCAAATCCTAAACAGAAGCCCACCATTCATTTGGAAGAATCATCTAGTCCCCAGTGGCTCTGTGAGTATCCCTGACATTTATTCAGGGGCCAAATGTGGAAACAGAAAGAGACATGGGAGAAGCAAGGAAATAATACAAGAGTAATTAATTGGGGCAGTGGGGAACGGAGAAACCAATAAGTCTCCAGGTTAGAGGGTTTACATTTGCTTGATCATCCTATGATTTCATGATTTTTTTTCCAAACTCAACTTTCAGGAGCAAAGTGGTGTGTTTGGTTTAGAAACAGGACTAATTAATTGCTCAGATATATCCGAGAAAAAATACTCACTTTCTAAACTATGTTGATGAAAAAAATAAGATTCAACATATTCTTTAAAAGCTGAGTGTACCTCTGGAGCTTTGAAGTCATCTGTTTTAAAAGAGCTGCTCAAAGTTCAGGTTTGAAAGAAGGGACCCATCTTAGCTGTCAGGAGACTAAAGGAATCAGAAGCTCAGACTGACCTTGAACAAGCCTTCGGAATTTGGCTGTCTGTATAAAACATGTTTCTGAAAATTATATTCACGTCATCCATTTAAAGGAGTATAAAATCATGATTTTTCCTCTCCCACTCAAACCTATCTTGGATGTGGGAGTTACTTTCTGAGATGTATTTGGAGAAGTCGGTTGCTTAACCATTGAAGGATTTGACTTTGGCCATGATGGGGCAAAGCCACGGACTAGAAATAGGACCAGGTCAGATTGCTTCTGTAGAATCCTTGGCAGAACACTGGGTCACCCTGACCAGAGAGCCTGGTAGGCTTATCTGCCTGGTTTCTCATCTTCCTGCCAAGCAGCTCTGCCCCTGCACCCAGATCAAACTCTGGACTGACCATCTCATCCTGTGTATTGGAGTCCTGAACCCAGGCTCTGAGACAGAACCACCCTTGTGACATACTTAGTTTACTTCCTGATGCTTCCATCCATTCTTCCTCGCTGCATGTAGCTTTATGGAATTAAAACCATGCATTTCATGAAACTAATATCCAAGGCTGGGAAAAACAGGGGCTAGGAGGACTGGTCAATGGTTGGAAGCTTGCCACAATTGTGTGTGGGGTGAAAGGCTGCTAGGATAGAAAAGGGACCAGCATGACAATAATAGTTAGAAATAACCACTCTGGACAAGAACTGAGTGTTGGAAGTAGGTAAAGGGATATACATGATAATCTTTCAGTATCTGTATTGCAGACCATAATGCAGGGAGGGGGAGAGAGAGAGAGAGAGAGAGAGAGAGAGAGAGAGAGAGAGAGAGAGAAAGTGTCTGCCATAGAGGTGGGGGTGGGTGGGAGGGAAACTGGGGACATTTGTGGTGGGAAATGTAGACTGGTGAAGGGATGGGTGTTGGAACACTATATGACTAAAACCCAGTCATGAACAACTTTGCAACTGTGTTTCAATTAAAAAAATACAATAAAAACCAATAAAATCTCTGATTTTTGAACTGTTCCAAGTAAACATCTGGGGGAGAATGAACCTCCAAGTAATTGGCTGAGCCCAGCTAGCTGAAAAAGAAGGTCAAATGGAAGCTACACCTTCCAAAAGACTCCGAATTCTATCACTGTACATCTGAAAACCTTTAACCAATGTCCAAAATGTTTGTTCTTAGCCATATGGAAAGTGACTGGTCCAAATACTCAGATTATGCCTTGTACTTTGTTATTAATGGTGAACTCTGGGTAAACGGTGCGCTTTCAGGCATGCCCTCACTGCGACAGCCAAGCAGACTATGCACCGACCATACAAAGAGGCTTCAGGGTCACTTCTGTTTGGTTCACACTCATTTCCTTAAGCCCTTCCTGCAGTCTCACCTCAGTATCATAAGCTTCCAGGAGACTTTTTATTTAATGCACCCTCCAAGCACCAATGACTGCACTAAATCATGTAACTGAGTGATATGGAAAAAAATATTTCCCTGAGTCTGGAACCCTGAGACTGACCCGCTTGGGAGTAAACCCTAAAAATCTCCTCCTCAGGCATGTTACCCAGGAGTCACCACTCCGAGGACTTTCGAGCTGTCAGTTAACCTTTGGGAACAATTTCAGAATCAACAGATAAGACAGAGCTCCCCGCCCCGACTCCCAAAGTAAAAGTAAAGGCCCTCCCGTTGATCATCGATTTGCTCGAGCGGGCACAGTAACGTCTCCATTGGAGACTTTGTTGTTACTGTGTCTGGCATATCGAATACTCTCGGTAGCTTGCTGGGCTCTCCGAGAGGGGCGGAGGAATCGAACTCGGGTCGGCCATGTTGGCTGCGTGCAAGGCAGACGCCCTACCTGCTGTGCTATCGCTCCAGCCCACTCCCAAATCACCCCCAAAAGAGTACCCAAACCATTCCCAAATCACCCCCAAAAGAGTACTGATGTCTTTAAATATAAGATCCTATCTAGTCCTCGAGCTTTGGAATAGTTTTCTAGTGAAGAGATCACAACTTGAACCAGATGCTAGAAATATTCCTCCACTTGGAAGGATATCGAACACCCAGCTGACAAAAAGATACAACCAAGGGTAACAGTAATGCCAGTTTTGGAGGGGAGATTGGGCCACACCAAGACAACCTCAAGACAAACTCGAGGCTTACTCGTGACTCAGTCCTGGTAGTGTTAGAGATCAAACCAGGGCCAGCCAGGTGTATGACAAGCATCTTAACCCCTGTACTAGGTCCCTGGTCTCTGATATTACTTCTAAAGAGAAAAGGTAATTTATTGTGATATTATTTAATTTATTTATTTATTGCTTTTTTCGGGGTCACACCTTGCAATACACAGGGGTTGCTCCTGGTTCATGTACTCTGGAATTACTCCTGGTTATGCTTGGGAGACCACATGGTATGCTGGGAATCGAACCCGGGTCAGGCCGCGTGCAAGGCAAATGCCCTACCCGCTGTGCTATCACTCCAGCCCTGGGATATTATTTTAAAGAAAACACTTCCTACAAACTTTCAGTGTCCCTACAATTCTTTTCTTTC